CAAGATAATGGAATGCCTTGCTTATTCTCTTGCCCATGTCAAAAAGTATCTTTAAGAAATGGTCGCTATAGACAAGCCTATCAACACTCCCATCACAAGCTCCATCATAGACAATGATAACAGCAGAACCCCTATCAAGCTCAACCTGGGAAAGGACAAAGATACTTGAGACCAGATTTGTTAATAAAATTTGAGAAGACATCCTTACACTGGAAATTACAAAGCCCGATAAAGTTTCACACAGTAATCTTTTTGATAGCTTTCTCCATGCAACTTGTCTTTGGAAAATACCCTAATTGAGGTTCTATTTTTCAACAGAAAAACTTGTACAAGATACATAAGTTTATGGTAAGGGTTAACATAAGACGAGCATGAAAATGTGACAAGAGAATACCAGATTAATATATTTTCCAACAGAACAGAGATCGTTGACCACTCGCCGATTTAGATGAGTATAAGTGTCCAGGTTCAATGGATGTGGATCACAGTATCATTTGACGTGAGCGAGCAGGTAGAGCTGCTTGCTCATACGTTTCAAGTCGAAACCCGAGTGGACTTCTCCTACAACCAAGTAGGTACTCGGTTCAAAATAGCTCCCGAAACACATCTGGCAAAAACAGACTTTCTTTGTGCTTCACTTAAAGACCAAAACGAAACTGGTGGAGCAGGAGACACGTTGTTAATAGGAAGACGTTCGCCCCTCTTGGTGTTTTGCTTCTCAGCCGAAGATAATTGGTCAGACGAAGAAATAGCAGCTGACTCTTGGACGTTGGAGAACCCTGATGCAAATTCGTCTATAGTAATTACTGCCACTACATACATATCTTGTGGCGCAATAAAAATCCAATTTGTGTTTTCTCAGTATTTTTTCAGAAAAAAAAAAAGAAACTGCCACAAACGGAACTCCATCGGACGAGTTTATTTCCAGCCATGATTGCTTTATGTTTGTCTAATGGCTGCCCTTTTTCTGATGCCATTAGACAAGAAATTTGGTAGCCTGTTTCTCCTGTGGATTCCTCTTGTGGTTGGATGCTTCGTTATGTTGACCTTTATCCACTGCATGTCCAGTGTTTGTAGGAAAAAGTCCCTTAATATGTAAACATCCCATGAATCGAATAAATGGTCAGTCCAATGAAGTGTAACGTTTTTGATTACTTTGGATTAAAAAGATGTTATTGCTCACGGCAGCTGTTCATCGAAAAGCATTTCTGGTCGTGTTTAAGGAGAGTTTACTGAGGGCGCCACGAAGTTTTTATTTATAAGGTCTCAAACCTCGAAATAGACCTCAATATCAAATCTCAAATATTATGTATAAAAAGAAGTAATACAGCAACGCTCTCCACTTAATTATGTTTAATAAAATTTCAATGAAAAATTACAAAATTTAGGATGTCAACTTAATAAGAATCATAAATGTAAGAATAATTTGATTTCAATCTAGTACTACACTTAACTAAATCTTATTGTGTAAAATAATAATAATGATCGATCATTTTATTTAAATTGGGACCCTTTCTACAGGTCTATCTGCCCTTGAAAATCATAATATGCTCAACCAGTCAATGAACTGAACATAGAAATGAGACACTCCAAGTATCAGGCAATGCTCAATAAAAAATATACCATATAAAATGACCTCTTTGGGTCTATCTGCTCTGAAAACTCATATGCTCAACCGAACAGCGAACTGAACATAAAAATGAGACATTCCATCTAGGTAACGCTCAATAATAGCTATTTATACAATAAGTTACGAAATGAGCGTCTTTTAGGCACGCGACGTGAAAATTGTCCAACGAGGCAAAGCCGAGTTGGACAACACGTCGAGTGACTAAAAGACACCGTTTCGTAACGTATTGTATACAAGATTTTTTCTACTGGCATTTTATAATAAAAAAACACAATTTTATTTCATGTGAATAAGTCGATTACACCCAAAATCTTTGTTACCTGCTTTTACTTGACACCTGACACTTTTCATGCGATTTTCTTTTCAAAATTCGACATCAATAATTAAAATCCTAGAAAGTAGGTAATAACACAAAGTTCTGTTTTGAGTAACCCAAACGTTCAATTCAGTAATTCAATTTTCAATATTCATAATAAATACAAAACAAAATTCAAATATGTGTTTGGTGTGTTTTTTATTTCTGAATAATGAATGACACTTTTAGGCACTAGTGCTTAAAAATTACTTTTACGCACTCATAAGTCACTTTTACGCATTCAAAAGTCACTTTTACGCACTGAGTGCCTAAAAGTAACTTTCACGCACTCAGTGCCTAAAAGAATGTCGTTTCAAAACTGAAATGACAATCGAAAAGTTGCTATTATGAAACGTCAGTAGAAAATAGTTATTTATGTTACTAGTGTGTTATGTTGAAAATAAGCCACACGAGAAAAATTTATACCACGAGGCCGTCAGGCCGAGCGGTATAATTTCTCGAGTGACACATAACACACGAGTGCCATACAGTGTTTTATCCAACAACTGAGAAATTATAACACATGAGCAGCATACAAGAACTGGAAAAACTAACAGGTATTGTTTGGGAATGAGTCTTCTTTAAAGCAGGATTTATGAATTTTTATTTCCTGACGTTTTGCGTTGACGTTATAAGAGAGTGAGTTATAAACCATAACTCACTAGTGGGTTATGATTTATAACACACTAGTTTGTTATTTGATAGTTTACCTGTCTAAATTGGCACAAATAATGAGTCTTATAACTAGCAGGTGTTGGATAATAGTTATTTATACACCAAGTGAGTTAAATGAATGTTTATTTATGTGAAGAAAGTTTAACCCACGAGCCCTAGTGAGTGGGTTAATTTTTTTCGAATGAATAAGCATTTTAACTCACGTGATGTATACAAAATTTTATCCCATTTTGATAGACATTCAAAAAATTAAGTACTTGATAGGAATCAAATTATTATAAAAAGAATTCATTCAGCGAGCCCTAATATCTAGTACCTATTGAAACTGGTAGTTGCTAGGGTATAGCTTGTTTGTATTTGTAGCAGATTTTCGTATAGGTAGAATGACTTAAAAGACCGAGAGTGAGCTAAGAATATTTTTTCTACAAAAGTCACTAAAAGTGTAATTTTTAACGGATGCTGTCAGTGTCTAAAATGCCATTTTATGATACTGGTGCTAAAAGTTATTACTTTTAGCACTAGTGCTAAAAATAATCACTTTTAGTGCGTTTATAGAAAAAATAGTGTATGATATTCGTGCTAAAAGTGATTTTATGTCACTTTTAGCACTTATATCATAAATAACTATTAAATCACTCAGGTGATAAACGTCTACTTACCTTTGTTATTATGCGTTCAATAATGTCATTTTTAAACGTCAAAATGGGATAAAAAATATAAAACGACTTCGTTGAATCTTCTGCTCTGAAAATTCACATGCTCAGCCGGACAGCGAACTGAACATAAAAATGAGACATTCCAGTTGGGTAATGCTCAATATAATATATAATAAAAAAGGTAAAAATGGTCTCTTTTTATTTGAAGAAAGGTGAAATAGACACTAACGTTGCCTTTTAAGGTTATAATAAGACACAAAGTACATGAGACTCACCCTGAACAAGGGGGTCCTATAGCATGATAGCACAATACAGGCACTGGCATCACCAGAGGTGGTTGCAGATAAAGATAGGCTGGAGAAATGATTATTAACTTAAAGGATTTGTCACATACCTGGCATGTTCCAATAAAATCACAAAAAAGTGGCCGAGTGGATGAATAAACTATTTCTTTAATCAGCCATAAATGGCACTCCGAACCACAAATAAAAATTTGAAGGATTCACCCCTTCAAGAGACTTTTGAGAAAACTTAACACGTTTGCCAAAAAACAAAAGGGCTTGCTGACGTCACTGACGTCGACTGGCTTAACGAAGCTGCCAAGGAAGAGTGGCCGGTTCTCAAGCAAGGTCGACCGCAATTCAAATAATTGCAGGATGAAGCTAGCCGAAAAAGGTGGCGTTAGCGACCGGAATGATTGGTATTATTTGGAAAGATATAGAGCTGGGCGAAAATTATTAAATAGAGATGGTATGGTGCCACCTGAATGGAAGTAGTACTTGAAAATCAGGTTGACTCCTAATTACAATTCAAATCTAAATTTAAATGGAAATAAGTACACTTGCTTTAAACGCATTACAATAATTAATATAGACAGCAATACTGGTGATTGCAATTAAAAACACCTAAAATACAATGCATTTACATACTTAAATAAAATGACAAAGTAGCTTAATTGTTACTACAGAAGAGCTTTCAAAAATTAATTTGGTGATTGATAACTGCATCACGTATAAATTCACCTCGATTTTGCTCTGTAATAGAGGGTCTTAAATTATAATTTCTGTCCAATGGTTTTAGAGCTTGGAGGTACTGATGTAGATAGAGTTTCTTTATACATCGTTGTTTACGTCCGAGAGAATATCGAGCCAAAAATTTCGTTTCTAGTTTTAACTTATAAGCATGTTGACAGCATAGTGCGAACAACAGGGTGGCGCAGAACAAACGGATATGTTTTTCACTTTTCACGTAAGCATTACATTTTTTACTTTCAGGAATTTTATTTTTATTATAGATAAATGAAGTAAGAATACCTAGTGCAGTTTCAAATTAATGATGGAAAATAATGCGAGTCTATTCTCCAACCGATCTAAGTTGTAAAATTCAATAAACATGCGTTTCCTCCTCTATTTAGTTGAAACAAGAGCTTGACAATACAACAATATTTGCATTGCATCTCAGATCAGTTTACCTATTAATCTAGAGAATTTAAGCACATATTGCCCCTAACTAGACATCACATCGTTTATTCTAGACTAATCAGTCGTTATTGAGCAAGCAGGGCTTGAGGTTAAAATATAATGTTAATTTAATAGTTCACATCATTGTGTGTGTGCGTGTATGTTTTTTTTTCTGGTTGCTATACGAGAAAGTTTCTCTATGTAACCTTTTTTGGAATTTTCAGGGGGAAGTATACCGCCTCAAGGCCCGTTTGGAAAACTCTCACCAGGAGCAAGACAGTCTCCGCGAGGAACTCGAGAAAGCGCAATCGACCACGGCGAAGCTCCATTCCGACAAAGATCGAGCTTACGCCGAACTCGAGAAAATGAGGGAGGAACTGGAGCGTACCACGGCGACCTTGGGAAAGGCCCAACTGCAACAAGACAAGCTCCAGAACGTTTTAGACAAAGCTCAGACCGAAGTCGACAAGCTACAAGAGAAACTCGACAAGTCCATTGGAGAGACCAGACGTGTAAGTGAAATAATTTCAACCATTAGATCCACACAAATAGGAACGTTTTTGTATTGGCTGAAAATTCATGAAATTATGCAAGCAGGGTATTACCTATTTCAATTATGATTTTCTGAGCCTGTTCACGGTAGGACTATCGGAAATTTTTTTTTAATAATGAATCTTGTGGCATGAAACCATTTGCAGCAGGAAATCATACAATGTACCGTCTCGATTCTGCGCAAAGCCTAAAATCTGTGCGTAGAATCCAAAATTTGTACACAGAGTGGTTTCCAAACCGCTCACGGGAGGGTATTTGACGTGCTGGAACAGACCTCCTTAACTTACTACAGATTTATTAAACGTTTAATTCAAATTTTTGTCAGTGGTAAAATATTGAGATTGAAAATAATATAACTATTATAGGTACTAGCATGGTGCTGATAGTAAACTATATTCAATATAAAGGCATTAAAAATAGCCGCCTCATAGCCTCTTTAACATCCCGCATCCTTTCAATTTCCGTTCCGAAAGAGGGATTTAAGTTACCTTATTATCTTAATTTATAGATCCAATTAGAAAAGGAAAAAGTCGGATACGATTTAGAGAGTATCCAATCGCAATTGGACAAGGCGCTCGCCCAATCTGCTCGGCTACAGAAGGAAAAAGAACAAGTCCAGCTCGAAGCAGATCGGCTTAGAGACAAATATGAAAAACTACAGGTAAAACTTTTTTCTTTAAAATCACTTAATTTCGGTCCATTACGAAAGTTACCGCTCTCATAAGACCATTAACGGCAACAATAAAAAGTTTTTCTCGTTTTCTGTGAGAGTAACTTTTTTCCAACTTTTATCTAGGGCTCGGTTAACCGGCTGCAAAAAGAAAAAGACAATTTCCAAGACGAATGCGGAAAACTAAAAGAACGGCTCGATATGCAGCTAAATCAAATTTCGAAAGCCCAAAGAGAAAAGGCTGATATTGAAACTGAATTGGATGTCCTCAAGGATCGATGGGAAAAGACGCACATATCACAGGTGAGTTTATGAATATTGATTCTACTCTTGAAACTCATTTTTTAAATACCTTCATAATTTTAGCAAAAATTGCAAATTGAACGTGACGACGCGGTTACAGAAATCGATATCCTTAAGGACAAACTAGAAAAGGCAATATATTCATCACAAAAGGCTATCGATGAAAGGGAAAATGTGCATAAAGAGTTCGAAAAAATACTTGAGAAATATGACAGGTCTCAAAGCGACATGTACCGCTTACAAAACAAACTTGACACTATTCTAGCGGATAAAGAACGGTTGGAAATTGAGATCGAAAAACAGCAAATTACAATGTCTAAATCGAGAGAAGATCAAAGAAAATTACAAGAAGAAGGTCAGAGACTCCAAGAGTTATACGAAAGAGCTTCGATGCAATTGAATAGAAGCAAAGAGCTAGAAGAAAAACATAAAGAGGAAGTTGAAAGATTAAACATCGACATAGAAATGGTTAGAGATCGTTACGAAAAGGCTCAAATAGAACTTAGGAGGTTACAAACCGAAAGAGAAAAACTTCTTGCAGATAACGAAAGAATGCGCTACGAAATCGAAAGAGCACAAGCGCAAACTACCAAAACTCAATCGGCCTATGAAAAAGCTCAAGAAGAAGTCTCTAGATTATCTATAGATGTCGAAAAATATAAAGACAAGCACGAAAAACTCCAAAACGAATTCAGAAAAGTTGTTGGCGAGTACGATCATCTCAGAGAGTCCACTGGTATGGGTGGCAGAGAAACTAGATATTCGAGTACTAGTCGCTTTGACAGAGATGCTTCTAGAGGCACCGAAGAAAGCGATAGGTTGCGATCTGAAATCGATAGGCTTAGGGAACGATTGGATAAGACATTGGGAGATTTGGATAAGAGTAGAAAGGAACTTGCTTTAGTAGAGTCCACCAGGTCTAAGTTTGGCTTTGAGGAGAAGGAGAAGCTAGCCGAAATGGAACGGTTCAGGGATGAACTTCAACGAACACTGAACACGTAAGATTTACTCTAATATCTTTCCTATTTGGCGTTAGTTTCATCTAAAAAATCTCTCGTACCGCGTTTCTCTATCTTATTAGATTTTTCATTTTTACCTCAAGGGTCAGGCAGTAACTGCCGCGCGGCGACGCCGATACTTTGTTATTTCGTTTCCCCGGGGCGACGGACGTCTCACTCAGATCACGCACTTGCATGAGCGAGTGAATGATTTACGCTCCAAATTTAAATATTTAAAATAGAATCTAATACGGCCAAACTGATATCATTCAGCTCTCAGAATGCGCAAGTCTCAGAACAAAAGAAAGTGAGTTCAAGCAAGAAACAGAATTTCTATTTCCTACAAAAATAATTATACAAAAATACATTCGTATGCAAAAATAGTATATTATATATCTAGGGACTAAAGTGACTCTTTTTATCCCGAGGCGAAAAGTGCGTCGAGGGATAAAAAGACACTTTAGTCCCGAGGTATAAATACTATTTTATGTACTTTAGCGGATAGAAAAACTGTAAAAAAAAATATAATTAAATGCCACTTGACTTGACCGTACTCTTACAAAATGTGGTTATGATGATGACATGTCATGTGAAAAAATGAATGCACCTTATTTGACATCAACATTTTACTCAAAAATCGAAATCTCGGTGTGTTGTGACAAGTTGCTAAGATGAACAATATACTATTATAGTTACCTGAGTTTTTAATTCTTATATGTACTAATGCAATATTGCTTACCTACCTAATTATTTTAGGGATTAAAATCGGTTTTAATCCCTAGGAAAAAAGTGCGACTTGAGTCTCTGAAAATAGGAACTAAAAGAATACTTTTAGTCCCTAAAGTACATAAAAAAGATTAGATTATCATTTTTTTTTTCTGACGATTTCCCTGTCAAAACTTCAGGTAAATTTCATATTTCAGGGGCCTTGGATTGAGATTCAGAGCTCTCGACTGTCTCACTGTCAGCTGCTGAAATGACCCAAAAAAAAAAAACATTATCAGACTTTTCTACTGGCGTCAACAGTTCAATTTTCACTTATAACTTTATAACAAAGATACATCAAATGGCACGATGGGAATGCTGCGGTATGCACATTCAGTGGCGTAGTGACGATACTTCGGGCCCGTGTTCGAAAATTTTACCGGGCCCCTACCCCTGCGAGATGAAAAAATTGGAAAATGATAGTTATATATTTTTCTTTTTTGAATATACCGGCTGAACTTGAAGTATGGAACATATTCAATATAAGGTTGTCTGGTAATGGGTAACTTGATGACGCATCTGAGGTGCCTTATGGAGATTTGCACTATGTATCTACACCCCAGATGACGTCATAAAAGTATCAGGCAACCTCCTTCTCTCAAATAACCTTGAGCACAACAAAGCGCAATGCAGGGATTGCGGGATCTTGAGTTGGCATCATTGAACTAAACAAAACTCTGGAACGGGCGCACTGCTTTATGCTAGTGTGCCGAATTTTGATATATGCAACCCAGCAATACAGAGGGATTGTTGTCTCGCTCGCACTCATTGCGATTAACGTAAAAGAAAGAAGAGCTTGTTCATCTTCCTAACCTCAATGATCCAAACACTTCAAACAGCTGTTTGTTCTCAATAGCCGCCATAGTGCAGAGAGAGATGCAAATCCCTCTTGTTTGTTGTCTTTCCTGGCACAGGGTAAACGTGTCCAGTTGCAATGTTTACCCTGGAGTTATGCTTAGGTAACCCAGGGGTGACTTGCTATTGAGAAACTGGCCCTTTGGCGGCGGTCTGATATTTGGACGAGAATGGAGACTGATTTGAAAGACGCGTCACGTTTTGGCAAATTTCGTGACACGAATGATAGACAAGAGAGAAGAAAGATATAGCGTAGAGAGACAGAGAAAGATAACCAATGACCGCCAATGAATGACAGCCGACGAACGATTGATACAAACCAAGGATTATGAGCAAAGAGGATTGCCTATTATTGTCAAGCGCTGATACCTTTAGTGCTTTACCTTGACTTCTTCTCGAAAGTCTGAAGGTTGTATGAGGGAGGGAATCGTTTTTAAGAAGTTTCACTCCTTAACGATGCACATATGATTTTTATTTTCATATAAATTAGCTTCAAATGTATTTTTGAAGTGAAACTTCTTAGGCAGCGGTTTGATATTTGGACAATAATGGAGAAGGATTTGAAAGACGCGTCACGTTTTGGCAAATTTCGCTACACGAGAGAAAGGAAAAATATAAGACGTAAAAATACGGAGAAAGACAGCCATTATAACATTGATTTCACGAACCAAGGATTATAAGTGCAAAGAGGATTGCCTATTATTGTGAAGCGCCAATACCCCTGTGACGTCACTATAGATGCGCGTCTCCCTTTTGTGTGGTAGGTACTTCGTCTGTCTTAAAGTTGTATGAGGGGGGCCGGGGGGTAGTTTTTAAGAAGTTCCACTTCTACTCCGTGAACGGCGCTGCACATGATTTTTTTATACTTATTAGGAGAAAAAATATTATTGACATGTCGAACCGGGCCCCTTGAGCTACCGGGCCCGTGTTCCATGCGGAACACCGGTGACTACGCCCCTGTGCACATTCACCATGGGCCATTTTGAGTTAGAGGTTTTCGAATGACACGATGGAAATATTTCAACATGCATATATTTAGGATGGGTCATTTTACTTTTTTTTTTAGATTCAGTTCTGCCAGATTCTGAAAATCTTCAGGAGTCCAATCAATTGGCCAGTGGCGCAACTGGTCTTTCGAACACTTGAAGGTCGTATGTGCGCCCAATTTTCGAATTGAGTATCGGTCGTTGGCCAAAAGTACTTTGATGATATAGGGTCTCACAAATTCGCATGCAAATTTCTCCGACCTTTGACCTCGGCGCAATAGGACAGCATCACCAACTTTAAATGATTGATTGATTATTTCTACGCTTCTTATTGATGGAAGTCACTTGTTTTTCAGCATTTTGCCTCATTTTATCAAGAACGGTAATGACTCCATTACCGTTTGCATGTATCGTTCGATTTGACCTTTGGAGCGATGTACACCAGGGGTTGTCACGTGCACTACGATACCAAAGTGTTCAGCAGACGCTTTGAAACTTTTTGCCGTGAAATTAGTGCCAGCATCGTGCATAAGTTTCACTGGAGTTCCAAATATGCTGATAAAGTTGGCAAAGCTCTTCTTAGTTTCCTCAGTAGTAACAGAAGACTGGTAGTAAAGAAGGCAAAATTTTGAGGAAGCGAGAACAAAGATGTATTTATAATTGTTTGGATTTCCAGGTAAAGGGCCAAGACAGTCACCATGGATTGTATGAAATGGTTCATGAGGCATTGGAATAAAAGTGAGGAAACCTTGCTGGTTTGATTTTTCCGGACCGCACATAGCAAACAATGCTCAACATATTTCTTAACATATCGAGTCATATTGGGGAACCAAAAGTAAAGTTTTAATGACGAAAGTGTTTTTTCTCAACCCACATGCCACTGATCATCATGAAATATTCTCATTAGATTATATCCATGGCACAAAGGATAACAATTTGATAGATTTATCAGCCTCAGTTGGGATAACTCGATATAAATTGCCTTTTTCGAATTTACGTTTTCGGGTGACATCATCTTGCTCATTATTATTCAAAGATTTATTGATTTGTTTGCATTCCCCGTCCTGAGTCTGTCCAACAGCTAGCCAGTTTTTGCAATCATTAGAAATTGAATCTATTTGAGCCAAAGTTCCGATTGGATTTTTGCTGAGCAAGTCAACATGCTATATTTCGGAACCCATTCGGTAGATTATTTGAAAATTGGAATCCTGCATATTTGCCTACCAGCGCGCGATTCGGGGTTTCAAGTCTTTTTTTTCTCAGATGTTTTATGACTAAAATATTCGACTGGATGGTAAGTTTCACCATGTTTTTGCAGCAAGATACCACCAAAACCAATGCTGCTGGCATCTGTATGTACTTAGTCGAGTTTCCAATGAAAAATCAAATATCGATAAAAGAGATTTTTTTGTTGAAACATCAATATTATACCGTCTTGCCGCTTCGCATTCAGGCGTCCAGAGAATGGCAACATTATTTCTGGTTAAATTAGTTATTCAAGCTACTTTAGAGGAAAAACCAAGGATAATTTTTCGAAAGTAGCTGGCCAATTCAATAAATTGGCGAACCTGTTTCACATTAGTGGGGGGCCAAAGTTTCTTTAATTGCTTTAGTCTTGTTAGCAGTGGCGTAGCTAGAAATATATTTCAGGGGAGGGGGGGGGGCATCTATACTATTTTCAAATCCCGGACGGAACTAAGAAAATGCCATTATTTCGTTTTATTTTAATAGCGGCTTATGGTTATAAACAAACGTCATGGAATGCCACGAGCATATTTTTTTCCCTAGAAGCCTCAACTGAATCAAATCCTGTCCTCCGCACATGCGCACTGGTCCTTGTAGGTAAATCATATTTTTCGTTCAGTAAATCTTGTTTTTAGAAACTATTTATTTTATTGAAAACTAAGAACAAAAAATACTAGACTCTAATTGCTGCGGCGAAAAGCCGATAAAAAAAGAATCTTGATTCTAATCTATAGTCTAAGCTACAATAAAAATGAATGAGCTGAGAAGCTCTGCGCGCCGTATTTATAATAAAATACTGCTGACGCTAGCATTCACGTGGGTGAAACCTTGATATGTCGGTACTTTTCCAGGCAGTACCGCTTACTTAGCATTTTTATAATATTGTGGGCTTTTACAGTGGCGTACGCTTATATTTAACATTGAAAAAGAGAATTATGTATATAATAATAACATAGGGATTTATAATATAACTTCTCCCTCCTTGAGTGGTTGCAAATTGGGATTGACTAACAATGTTGCGCAATGCAGCTCAGTTTTAGTTCTACTACATTTTCCTTTAAAATATAGAATAAGAATAATTGTTATAATTATAAAAATAGAACTTAATACTATGATTATAAGTTAAGTTGACACATTATTAGTTTCAAAATTTAACCTTTTTAATGGATCAGTCTTTAATTTGTTTGCTTCTTTAATCTCTGATTGAAGAGCTTCATGGTCGACTGCTTTTAGTCTTACAGTTGTGGTACCTATTCTCTAGAAGTTCAGGAATGTCGATGATGGGTAATTCAAGTTCTAGGTTGAATTTCTCTTGCGTGTCTTCCAGAAATGTTCGATTGTTAATTGTTATTGAACATTTACCTTTGGAAATTACGATTGGACTGGAAATTATTTCCATGTAGTTCTTCTGGTCACATTGCAGCATTGCTGTCACATGTCGTTTTGCAATAACCAATATTTGATTATTGGGTATTTCTTCAACTGTCGATTCTTCGTATTGAATTTTCGTGAATAGGCATAATTGTTGTTCACTAGATACAATATCATGAACACAGGGCTCATCTTGCTTCAATAGTTCCATTTTCCACAAATAAATGTCTTCAATATTTGGACATTTTTGTAAAGCATTGTAATACGTGTCTGTGGTAAGTAACAGGAAGGGATACTTAACACTAATTGTATAATTTTGGATGGGTATAGGAAATAGTTTATACAATATAAAAGGTATATGATTAATTATTGGTGTAAATATAGTAAAAATAATTAGTTCCTTTTGAATTATTTCATGAGAGGACATCTCATAGTATTTAATTACGTTGTCAAACGGTATTTGTTGACTGTCGGGTATATTTTTCAAGATCTAGTTCAATTCATTATGCTGCAGTATTGTATAGTGCATAATGCTTGCGTGAGCACAACTTAATGCGTTTTGAATGTGGTTAATTAACTCGCGTAGCTCACTATTGTGCATATTAATATTTTCTAAAATTAGAATCATCATTAAGATAGTTTGAATATTTTGATTATCCGTCAAAATATTTCTTAATTATCTGAAATTAATACCTGATTATTTTCGATATTTGAAAATCGATCATGAAATGTTTTCGTAACTTGTTTAAGTACGTTTATTTGATCTTTTAGATTTTCGTCGATAGTTTGCTGATTTTCATTTTATGTTTGAATGCAAGAATCATATCTATCGCCGTCATTTGCATCTTATGTTCCATACAGTCATTTTTGTGCGGTACCTATAAAATTGAATACTCCACGTTTATTTCGTGTGAGAATTGTTTTACAAATTTCTTTAATTTATTGATACGTGATTGACTAGTTTCAATATTTACTTGTAATAAAGTAACAATGTCGTCTTTATTAGACCATTTGGTTAGATTTAAAGTATTATTTAAATTCTTTAAAGTTATTTCGAGAGTTTTGATACTTTTTTCAATGAGGGTAGTATTAATGTGATAACATGCAGTGTTATGTTGTGTTGTGATGTGAGTGGTTCCTATAGAAATCGGTAAAATAGGATTTTTTAATGGAGTTAACGTGTAGGCGATACTGGAAATTTCTATGAGGAGGATGATGAAAGCTGCCAGGAACATTTTGGTTTCTAATGCACGATGCCTCTTCATATTTCCATGAATGGTCGAGAAGGATTTTTTAAATTATTTTTCCAGGGGATCCTACTACGTAGTGGAGAGCTTTCACGTTATTTTCTGGACACCCTGTATAATAATAACATAGAGATTTTTAATATAACTGGTGTATTAACCAACAAGAAGGCTAGATTACCAGCTGGTCCTTCAGGTGTTTGTTTCATTCAACGTAATTTACTGCCCCTTAGATTTCAATATAGTAGATATAGCTACCTGTTTTTATAGATTTGTGAGGAAAAACTAAAAAATCAAAAATTGAGCAAATCAATGCAATTTGCAGCTTACGACTTCAGTGCGCAATAGTGACCTTCGAAGTTGTTCTGCTCGACCTTGACGTTTCGCAATGAGCACTGCAGTGAGACGCGGCTTTGTTTTAGTTGTTGCCAGCGTTGCATAAATGTCCTAAAGTACCTACCTACCTATAGTAGATACATACATATTAGGTAATTTCACTATATGACCTGTAAACTTGATAAATATCAAATCTTAATTTGATTGCATTCTCATTTTCTGGTTTTTAGATTCGACATTTCGGGGGGAGGGCGCCCCCTGGCTACGCCACTGCTTGCTAGAATCGGGTTGAATAGCATCAGCTGAGATTACTCGCCCCAGATATGTAACGTTTTTCATTAAAAAGCGACATTTACAGAGGTTTATAGGAAATCCTGAGTCGGAAAGTGCGTCAAAAACTAATTTTAATCTAGACATTCCTTCAGCCACTGTAATAGACGGCATGACCATATCATCCATTTGAACAATAGCAACATCATACTTAAGTTTTCCTAGAGCTTCGTTAATAGCCCTTTGAAACACGGTAGGAGCATTTTCCAGACCAAACGGCATCCTTAGGTATTCGTACTGGCCGTCTGGTGTTACGAAAGCAGTTTTTGCGATTGACTCATGCTGGATAGGTACTTGGTGAAATCCCGAAGCCATATCGAGTGTCCTTAAGTAAATATTTTTACCTAAGCGATCCAGCTGGTCGTCTATACGCGGGAGAGGGTAGCGATCCTTGAGGATGATTTTATGGAGAGAACGAAAATTCACACAAAGGAGATTGCTACCATCTTTTTTCTTAGTCAGGATTATTGGACTGGCAAAAGAAGAATTACTTTCACGAATAATTCCATTTTCAGTAAGATCTGCGACAATGCCGCACACTTTTTTGCGTTCAGATTCCGACACACGATAGGGATGATCGTAGATAGTTTTTTTTTCAGTTGAAGTGATACTTAACTCGCCAGTGTTTACAACATTGAGCAGCTTGCAGGAAATAGTCAACAATTTCGAATAATTTTTAAGTAATTCAAGTAGCTCTGCTCTATCATGAGAGTCCAAATCAGTTACTACCTCTGGGCTAGAGCTACCGCGAGTAGCATCAATAGATGTCCGTACAGAAACGATTTGCTGTCTATTTTTATCTTTGATTAAAGTTACATCATTCGCATAAATATTAGAGTTATTGTGTGGTACTACAACAAGATCAAGTTTCAATTTTATGTCGAGAAATTTCACTAAAGCATTTGAAACAAAATAAGAATTGCAAGTAGTACCCTCGAACCACTGTAATGGTGTGATACATCGGTTTTCATCAAGCTTTTATTTGTCAACCAACGTTTCAATAATTAATGTTGAACCAGTATTTATCAAACAATTTGTGCGATAACCAGAAATTACGATATTATTATTGTATTTGAGAGGAGAATTTAATAATAACAATTGTTCCCCTTTAAATTTTCTATGAGGCAATCCAGATCTGGAACCTGTTTCAAGGGTACCGTCTCTAACACGTTTGCTTTGACGACGAAAACAATGCGCTCCCATGTGCTGTAATTTCTATCAAATCAGAGTCATCCCATTTAGCTCGGGTGCGTTTCAACTTTTCGAGTTTATTTCTCGCATATTCGAGATAACTGCGAGCCTCTGAGCATAAATTATTTTGTTTGGGAAAAGATTCAGGAAAATCGATCTTAAAATTATCCCACGTTTTTTCAGTTGGCTGCCATGCCGCAAACCACTCTTGCGCGGATTTCAATAAAAAAGGGCCAACTCTACGTACAGTTTCTGGATATGACCACCCAAATTAGGTTTTAAAACCCTCTACTTTTTGTAACCACACATAGCTTTCGGTGCTGTCTGGGTCGAAACTTTGCAAGGCTAGGGAAATAGGAGTGGTTTGGACAGGAGCTGTGGCGGCCTGTTCATTCTTGTCAACACGCTATTGCAGATTTTCCAAGATGGATGAATTTGCCCTCAAGGATTTTGCCATGTCTATGAATTTATTTTTCAACCACCACAACACAACGATTACGAAAATACACGTACACCCCACACCTGATATTAGATTTTTTATTTTCACGTCACCTCTATGGTCAGGCAGTGACTGCCGCGCGGCGGCGCCGATACTTTGTTAGTTCGTTTTCCCGGACGTCCCGGTCAGATGGCGCACTTGCATGAGCGAGTGAATGATTTACGCGCTAAATTCAAATATTTAAAATAGAATCTCTTTAATTTATTGTTTTTTCACTGTTATCCACTTTTTCCATCAAAGCAACCAGCAACTAGAAACCAAGCTCCACGAGGCCACTATGCAACTAGACCTAGCTAGACAAGACGTCGCAAAGGCCCAAGCCATCCAGGAAAAGCAGCGCAACGAGCTTGAACGCGCAGTGATTGAACTGGAAAAATTGAGAGATCGCTATGAAAAGTTAAAAGCTCAAAGCGAAAAAATGGAGAAGGATAATGAGAAGCTAAGGATGGAGGTACAAGAATTCATGTGCGTCAAAATCTTTTCAATAAAAGAATTATTTTTAGGTTGCCCAACAAGAACGAAGACAGACATTAGCCGCAGACAAAGTGAGAAACGAGGAAAGACTTGAAATTGAAAGACTTAAGGAAAAATTGGAAAAAGCTTTACAAGCTAGAAATGCAACAGAATTGGAAGCTGGCCGACTTGCCCAGGAACTAGAAAAATCTCAGTTACATTTAACAAACGTAAGATCATCTTTTATCTAACTCTAGCCATTATATTTCTAATAAAACATATTTTCAGGCACTCGAAACAAATGAAGCAACGAAGATAGAGTTCGAAAGAATGGCTACAGAACTAGCGCGTATGCATGAACGGCTAGAACGAGACAAGCTAGACTGGAAAACTATGGAGCAAGAGAGAGACGTCCTCAGAGCCGAGCTTCAACAAATGAGAAGCGGAATGGACACTCAGAGGCGCACCATAGACCATAGAACTCAGGAAACATTGATAAAGTTACAACAAGAGTTAGCTCAATCTAATAGAGAAAGAGAAAAGATGGCATCTATGTTAGACAAACAAGGACGACAAGGAGAATCTGTAGAAAAACAAATTATTAAATTTGAAGCTGATATTAAACAACTAACAATGGAAAGAGATCAGCTAGTGAATCAATTAGAAAAATCTCAGGATATGTTAATGAACTTCCAGCAAGAATTGAATCATAGTGAAGCAGAATTAGAAAAGCATAAACAGGAAGTTAATAGGTTGAAAACAGAACAAAAAAGAATGTCGCAGGATGTTGAAAAGGGCACCAAAGAAGTTTTGGAAAATAGAGACAGAGAAATAGCAAACCTCCGCCAACAACTTCAACAGGCTCAAAAAGAAAGAGACACGCACAAGCAACGGGCCGAGAAGGCTGAAAAAATGTTGCACGAAACTGGATCAAGAGATTCTGAATTGGAACAATGGCGTAACGTTATCGAGCAGGAAACCAAGAGGGCTGATCAGGCAGAGAAGACTTCACAAGATCTACAGAAGAGGATTCAGGTAAAATTTTCCTATTTAAAGAATTACCTAATGCGATTTTATTCGAATACTTAGGTCATGGAGAAGCAACTTCAACAGCAGCTCAATCAAATGGCACAATATCAGCGAGAGAAAGGTATTCAACCGCCTCCACAAGACGACAAAGAGGTGCAGAGGTTGAGGAAGGAATTGGAGAAATCGCAGGGAGAAGTGAAAAATTGTGCTACAGAAAGAGAACGGTTGCAAGCTCAATTAGAGATGTTGGTACAAGAGTTGGAGAAAAATCAAGTAAACTTTTCAAAGTATTCTCTATATAAATATATTTATTTTTTATTTCTCAGGTATTCTTTTTTTTTTTTGGTTAAGTATTTTACTTTGTTATTTTATTAAAATTTTTATATTTTGTATAAAAAAATTGTTTTATTTTAACTGTTTTCCTTTATTAACATTTGTTTCCTTATTAAATGTATTTTGTCAGTATTCATGAAGTAGCAATAATGAAATTATTTTCAGCTGGAGCTTCACGAAACCAGAAAAAAGCTACAAATGGCACCGCAAAAGCCTACAGAAGATCTTTCTGGACAAAAACGGCAACTGGAGGAGGAAAGAAGGAAAATAGAAGAGGCTAGAAGACAATTTGAAGAACAGAGAAAGAGCATTGATAATAAACAGCGGCAAGTGGAAGAAAAAGAACGTCAGTTAGCCGAATTAGATAAACATTTACAAAAGCAAAAGCAACAAATGGACCAATTACAAGCGTCGTTACAAAAGGTAAATTATGAATTATTGCAAAAGTTATACAAATTGTGTAGATAAAAAATTGGATAATGTTTCGTACCGCAACCGCACACCTTTTTTATAACATACTGTAGCATCCGCGCCAAGTACTTTAATATTTAGGTTAGATGGTAAATTGCGAGCGGTCGTATATGATGGTAATTATTTACTTGGGCAGCTACTGTAAAATAAAATTGTTGGGGCGGGTCTATTTGCAAGTGAGAGAAACAACTGATGTACGGTTATCCCATAATAAATATACTTTTTTCGAGAAATTCCAACACCTTTCTAAAACAAAAATAAGCAATTCTAAATGATGCTAACTCACAGCCACCTCTATACTATCTTTGATCTTGTGAACAAAATGTTACAATCAAAAGCCTTGTACTTGAATAACTTTTTTATAGAGCCCTCAACATTAGGTTACAATATTTTTAACCAAACTCTTACACGTCAAAACATTACAATTTTTAAAACGTTTAATTCCATAAGCGTATAGAAACCCCTGATTTCGCTTACTTCCAAATTTGAACAACGCTTTACTCAAAACTCTGCTGTTAAAATCACCAAGCAGCTATATTTGTTCGTGTCGTCTCTTCCCTTCTGAGATTAGATTGAATCTCCCCAATTTATTCACTTCTATTCAAATAATGAAGAATCAATAGTAAATATTTTTTTTCAGGCTGGAGGTACAGCAGCAGCAGCCACAGAACTGAACAAAAAGTTAACAGAAGCAGAAAAGAAGGTGGAACAAGCACAAGAAGAAGCTAAACGATCGGCAACAGAGATGGAGAGAATGTTGCAGATAGTGCAAATGAGCCAAGAGGAACAGAATCAGAAAGACAAGCAAATAATGGAGTTACAACAGTAAGGGATTTCACCTTATAGAGATAATGTTTCCAAACATTCTTTTTTCTAGAGCCCTCAAAAATGCGCAGGCAAAACTCAAACAACAACAACAACAACAAGCACAAACACAAGAGGTAAACTTCAATTAGCTCAATATATTTATTAAATAATTGATGAACTAATCTCTAACATAATTCTATCTCTTCTTTTTTATGCTAACCCTCCGGATACGCATGTATTAACCAATTGGTTTGCATCATTAGGCTGGACCTGCTGGCTTCCTGAAAAGCTTTTTCTAAACCTCGTTTGTATATCATGTAGCCTAATTATCCATATACTCAAAACCCTGCCTCATTCCTCAAAAAAACTTTTTTATTTTCCCCCTTTATGTTTCAACTTACCTAAACCTATTTAATAAATTATTTATTTATTTGCTTTTTAATATTAGAACGATATACACGAACAGAGCAAAGTAGACTTAAGAAACGAACTAAGAGATATGATAGAAAAATTAGGTTCGACTAAAAAAGAATTAAAAGACAAAGACAAATATATAGAGGCCATAGAGCGTGACTTGAAAGCTATGAACGACCACGAAAATAATAATGAAGAAGACAACCAAACCCTGTTTAACAATAATATCATATCAAATAATAGTGAAGATGGAGAAAAAAATAAAATTAGGATTTTAGAGAATAATTTAGAAGAAAAAGATAAGAGAATTATGAAGTTAGAAGACGGATTAAGAGAAAGTGTACAGATAGCAACTGAGAGAGAGTATGTTCTACAGAAAGAGGAGGTTAAGAGGAGACAAATCATGGAAAAGGTAAGAGTAAATTTTTGGGAGTAATTTTTATTAACCCCAGCATTCAGGTTAGAAAGCTAGAACAAAGGTTGTTATCTCTTCAATCTGCCCAAGCGATGAGATGTCACAATTGTAAGCCCTATGTTCGTAGAACGTCACTTTTAGAAGAAAAGCTCATGAGATTAATTGCTGAACGGAAAAAGAACCTCCAGGAGTTAACCCATATGAAGTGAGTAGCATTTGTTAAACATATTTAATTGTCTATAACTTTAATTTCTTGAAGGAGGGAAGCATTAGAATCAGCCATAAGTGAGAAAGATGCTCATTTAGCTCTTTTGGAAATGACTGGCATACGGACTGCAAGGCAAGCTGAAGAAGTAGACAGTTTGAAGTTGGACAGAAAGAGGCTTGTTGATGCGCTAAAAAAAGAGGTAGGTAATTAATATTCGGGTTTTGGGTGTTTTATAAGTGGGAGTTTTGAAATAAGCGACGGAAGTATTGTAAACTTCTAAGTAAAATGCAAAACGATTATCTCAGTAAAAATTTTTGAATTAACGATCGTGTGAATATGTAACTAAATCATATTTGCACAGAAATTAGCCAACCAAACTTACATCTTTGTCAACAATAGCCTTGGCTTTAGTATGCTCTCAAACACAGGTTTGCCTGATGAGGCTGTATAATGCTGCCTCCCCTTTTGAAGTAGTGACGAACACAAAGTAAAAGGAGATTAAATTTATATACAATGTAATGTAATCATGTAATTTGTTCCATAGCAGGCGGTAGAACCGACGAAGATATGTCTGTTTTTGAAAATCAGTTTTGCTTGTATGTAGGTATATTGAAAACTGTTTATGCACTGTAGTGTATCATTCTAAGCACTATCCTCGAGTTTATTTTTAAATGTGTTGCTAAATTAAACAATAAAATAGGTTTTGTACAACCCTTTTCCATAGGGTTGACGCAAAAGTCATAGGTATCAGAAGCATGGTTCCATTGCAAATCCAGAATCTTAGGGGGGCAATCTGAGCCAAAATTAAGAGATAAATCCTCACTATAGAGATGCGAAGGAGGAAAATCAGTTAACAACCGGGGGTCATTGCTGCACCACTTACGCAACTCGAAACCGCCCTTGGAAAGCAACGAGATCAAATTCTTTTGCAGCTCTCTGGCGTCCCCTATCGTAGAAGAACCTCCAGTGAGGTCATCCACATAGGAAAAATTTAAAATCACATTCACAGCCGCTGGATAATTGTCCTTTTCTATTTCAGCCAGCGTAAGTAGCGATTTTATGGCCAGATAAGGGGCACAAGTTAGTCCATAAGTGACGGTGAGAAGACGATAATCGGCTATAGGTTTAGTTTTAGAAAATCTCCAAAGGATTCTTTGATAATCAATGTGCTGCGAATCTACTAAAATTTGTCGAAACATTTGACGAATATTGGCATTGAGTGATTCCTGTCCGGCAGATTTGGCGGAAGCTTGAATATAACCCGAAGTTTGATTGTAGGGCTAGTAGGTTTTATAACACAGTGATAGGGCATATAAAAATGACAAACTGGTAGGATATTAGAAAAAATAAGTTCCATAATTGTCCAATAATTCTACATATATAATCCTTAATAAAATCAGAATACTCAGCATAAAGGATTTTTTTTTTCCTAAACGGTGTTCTAAGGACAGGAAATTATGCAGCGCTAAATCTCTACTCTTTGAAAAGATCGGGCTTGGCCTTTTAAAAGTAAGTTATACTACAAATCTACCAGAATGGTTTCTATACGAAGTGTTTGCAAATATTTATTCACATTTAGCATCATCAAGAGACAACACCCTTACGTGAGGTACCTCCTCAACCTCCCAAACTTACTGTTTTTGCAAGGGATGAATGGAGACAAAGATGAGATTGAGAAAAGAAGGAGATAGAAGTTGTTGTCTTTTCGATAAGTATAAATCCAAATATCGTATTGAGTGCTACAGGTTGATTGACACCACTAGTAAGTCAACCATCCTGTAAAATATATGGGAATAATGGAGCTCCAATGGGACCAGGACTATTATAAAAGGGATCAGCCAACAGATGAGTAGGTAAATGCGGCCAGGCTTGTACGGAAACCGTACTATTAGGCTGGTCGCCGCAAACTTTGGGTAGGACAACAGCTTCGACATCGAAAACCGGAAGTCGAAATCCAAAAGTATGCGAATTTTTTGAAACTGGTCCATACCATCCAATGCTTCCACAATGACGGTGGATAAGAGAATAGCAGCTTAATGTTGAGAACTGTCCGAGCTTTGCAAAATTTGATGCGCCGTGTGATACTTGAACCAGGCGGTGCAGGTTTATTCTCATCGCATTCAAAATGCAACAGAGTATGATGTTTATGTTTACATTTGAAGCAAACATGAGGCGATTTACAATCCCTAATAGGATGAGAATTGCTGAGACAATTCAGACAAATGCGGAGAGGCGAACTAATTGATAACGTTCTTCGGTTTTTTTTTTCCAAAAAGGTACTGGGTATATGGCATGTTTATTCTTACACACAGGGCAAGTTTGAACCCCAGAGTTAGACTGTGCACCAGCCAAAAGACTAAATTCAGAGGAGGAAAGAGAAGATTTGTTATCTTCCCCTTTAGCAGTTGTCTTATCTTTTACACAAAACTCGCTAGAAGAAACATTGTTTAACGCCAAACAGTGTTTACCTAGCTAGGTTCTCAATAATTGTGAGTAGGTAGGGGTTGCTTGAGAGTCATGCTGCAATTCAAACTTAGTAGCAACTGAAATATATATGCGTTTAAGCAGCATTTGGACTAAAATGAAATCCCAAGCATCAACTGGTAAGTTTAAATTGCGGAGAGCAGTCAAATTATCATCAAAAATATCCAATAATTGACGGTAACTCAATAGTCACTTGTAAGCTTAGGTACATACATTTTCAATTTAAGATCAATGAGTAGCGGCAACTAAACGAAGATTCTGATACCTTTTTATCAGAGTGTCATAAGAAATAGGATAATTTAATTCTGTCATTGGAAATTTTTGAATCAAAGCTAAGGGTTGTCCTCGGAGAAAACTAAGTAGGTAATTAAATTTTTCTATATTGCTTAGTGCGATGCTTATGAATTGAAGCATCAAACATGTCTTTAAAGGTTGAAAATTGGGTAACATTTCCTGAATAACAAGGAATTTCAATTTTTGGCAACGTCAATTCAAATTACTATTTCCTGATGAGGAAGGACTTCTAGAACTGGAAGGCTTTGAAACTGGGTCAACTACTTGAAAATAAGTGGTTTTAATAAACCAATAGTTGCTTACAAATTAAGTTCAAATTTGATCTTGAGTTTTGAACTCAATTTCTTCCTCCTCATCATCAATACTCCCAATTACAACAATATGATGTTTGAAAAAATCATCTCTTATTCTTTCGACATCTCTATAACGTAATTGAAAATAATCACGACTAGCTGGATCATTTACCGCCTGCAGTGCAGCTAGGAGTAGCTCTGTCATTCGACTTATTTCACTCTGTCGGGCGATTCGGCAATGACTAACTCATGTTCATAACTTTTTCTGACCTCAGTTAATTTCTGCTTTAAAAAGTTGTTCTGGATTGTGTAGACACTATAATAATTCTCTGGTGTTGTATTGCCCCTATACTTGTCTTATAATTTTCTTTTTTTGTTGATTTTTTAATTTATCCATAGCTTCTGTTGGTTTACTTATACTGACTTCAATGCTAGTATTGATTTATTGTACTCTTCAAAGTTCTCAAATTTAATCTCGTTTAAGTTTTCAAGTTGTTGTCTGATTAAGTAATTAATTTTGATGTAGTCTGCAATGCAGAGCTGGGCAAAGCCCTCAGTGAAAGGGCTTGAAGCACTAAGCCCTAAGCCCTTTCTCAAAGTTCTTTCAATTTCAAGCACAAATTCCTTTTTATTTTCAAAAGTGCTTGACAAGCAGAAAGTCCTCAAAGTGCCTTGTGCTTGGCAAGCACAAAACCCCCAAAGTAATTTATAAAGTGCTCGAAGCACATCAAAATTGCTTGGGGTGCCTCAAAAAGGGCTTTGAAACTCTTTAAATGTGCTTGAAGCCCTTTAAATGTGCTTGAAGTCTTTGAATATGCCCTGAAATCTTAGTACTCCTAACAACGCTAGTGAGTAATAAAAAAAATACAAAAGCTTACTTTCAATTTCCTCAGTTCATTTGACTAGAGAATCTTTATATTTTGTATTTTTTTGCAAATTACAATTACAATAATTGTGAATGGTAAATGGTATTGGTAACCAAAATAATTGTAAGTGTGGGTAATTTTTTTTTACATGGTATCCTATCCTTACCTACACATCACAACAACTCATGCTAATTTCATGAAATTACTAAAATTGTATTTGTCATTTTCTTTGATGTTAACAGATGGCGTCACAAAAAAATTAGCATATCGATACCGGTATCGAATTATGGATTTGAAATATCGATGCCATTTAACGAGTATCGATATTTTTAATACATCGTACCTATTGAGAATAGAATTATCGATAAGCGAAAATCTAGATTCTAGATAAATATCAATCAGAAAAGTCGGTGGTATGCTGTAAGAATTCCGACACAGAATGGATATCAGAATTAAGCAACAAAACACATCGATTCAAAATTTTTAGGTAGGGGATAGGTTAAATGATGGTCTATTCAAACTTCTTTTAGAGTGCTTCAAGCCCTTTCGATGTGCTTCAAGCCCTTTTAAAGTGCTTCAAGCCCTTTTAGAGTGCTTCAAGTCCTTTCAAAGTGCTTCAAGCCCTTTTAAAGTGCTTCAAGCCCTTTGGAAGTGCTTTAAGCTTCCAAAAGTGCTTCAAGCCTTCTAAAAGTAATTGAAGCTCATTGAAAGGGCTTGAATTACTTTTTTTCAATTACAAATTACCAAGCACTTTTCTGAAGTAATTGACTTTGCAAGCCCCAATTACAAATATGTAAAAGGACTTGAAGCACATAGGGCTTTCAAGCCCTCAAAGTGCTTCAAGCACTTTTACAAGCACAAAGCACTCAAGCCCTGCTCAGCTCTGCTGCAATGTAGTTGTTTCTTCTCAGAACTTTATAAGTTGGCTTTGGTAGAAGTTTAAGCTGCGTTTTGGCAGTAATAATGATATCATCGCTTCGTCTTATAGGAGCTATTAGTTGTTCCGGAATCGGTTTGGAAAATTAATTATATGAGACGCGCTTGATTCTTGGTACATATCCATAAAATCTCCAGTCGGTGGGGAGACCATTAGATTTTCCCATTTTATGTTAGGGTAGTTGAAATCTCCCAATTAAATGCTGGAGTATAACCAGTAAACGCAGTTTTAATTGCATTGATTATCTGGGTAATGGCTTGCTTGCTTGTAGTGTTTCCTGGCCTGTAGATATAGAATTTTCAATACCTATTTGGAAGTACCAGTC